TAATTCTTGAATAGTAGATTACCTTGTTGCTGACTTTTTTATAGATCATATTGTAACAGAACAACTAATTAGCAGCAATTATTGAATAGTAGGTCACCTTGATTGCTGACTTTTTTATAGATCATATTGTAACAGAACAACTAATTAGCAGCAATTCTTGAATTGTAGGTCACCTTGATTGCTGACTTCTGTATAGATCATATTGTTTGTTGACTGTCTGCTATGGAATGTAAGCTTAGAGATTCATTAAACAGGTTAAAATATTTCCTCTTACTCCGACATACCCCTCCCCCCCCCCAGTGGTATGCCCGTGGACTTACAACTCTAGAAACCGGGTTTCGATATCTGTGGTGGGCAAAGCACGGATAGCCCATTGTGTAGCTTTGTGCTTAACTTCATAACAAACAAACAGCCGACATACACAAAAATCATAAGGTTTAAACTCAGAAAATATTTGTTTAGACTTTAGAGCATACGAACGGCAATGCCGTTAGCGTACAGTACAAGAAAAAAACATGTCACATTCCTTAGTAATAGTTAGAGCTTAGATAAGGCAGATCTTATCTAAGCTATGTACCACATTTCATGCTCCAAATAGTATAGGTTTTCACTGCATATGTAGAGCAAAAAGAATGTATTAGTTTGCATAAAGACTTGGTTCATCAGCATCAAGAAAAGTATCATGAAGTATCATGAAGCCTATAGGAAAATGTAGGCTAGATCCGATTGGAGGAGAAAGTTGATGATTCGTGACGGAATAATAAGTGGAATTAGATGGACTTCTGAAGCGGAGTTTGTTTTAGCACTTACCCTTATAAAACAAAACATAAAACATAGCAACTTTAATTGTGAGTCAGTGCAACAGAGGAGTTATACGTAGGTGTATTATCAGAATATGAGCTTGCACACTTCGTGTTAACATGATGTAAAAACATTTATCTAAGCTGCACTGTTGTAAGTTTCAAGGTCCACGCATAGAATGTCGGATCATTTTATCTTATTACTAATGTCATGTCATTCCTGGTTATGTCGCTTTCAAACAACATTAATCGTTTATAGGTTGAAAAAATACAGCCATGTCATTCCTGATTATGTCGCTTTCAAACAACATTAATCGTTTATAGGTTAAAAAAATACAGCTTTATTTTCAAATCGTAACCCAAATACTGACTCGTGTTCGCTACATTGTCCCAGATTGGCACTGGTTTTGTGATGTCCTGGCACTACAAGTGTGGTGTCTAGACTCCAGTTTGGTACTTTCCTTATAGAAAAGTTGCTCCAGAAATTCATAAGAGACTAATAATACATATGAATGTACAGGCGAAACAGGTAGAACAACGCTGTAGGCCCCCCACAAGCTCGTGATACACAAGACGATATCACACATTGATATTAGCTCTCACTTATTCGCTTTGGTTATATGGTCCCTTCAGACTATAAATATGCGTGTGAAGCGACATAAAAATATACACATTTCTTAAAGTTAATAAAGGTGACTATTATTTATATATAGTAGTCTTAAAGTCACATTTAGCAGGAGTGAATGGCATCTTTATGTGGATCACGGGAGTGTTTGTACTACAACCATGAATGAACCCTCTAACATGCGCCCTGTGCAACCAGTAAAGTAATATTCGATATACCATAGTGAAAGGTGTGGCTTAAAATTTTAAACTTATCACTCCATAGCGTGCTTGCACTTAGCGGATGAGATGATGCAGAATGATATATATATATATATAGAGGGAGATTATGTATAAAATTAATAAATAAGTGGATCACTATTTATATTGACGGGTCAGTAGGCATGACGATCATGACGTTGTCGTATCTGTTTTAGTGTTCGTCTTTTTTCAGCAATGTGGTTGTTATTGCTGTACTCGGATACTTAATGTTCTATTGAAATTAACAAGAGTTCGAGAAACCTTTTAGTGTTTTCTGGCCTGTTGTATATATATATATTTCATATAGCTGTCAGTTCTATAATAAAACAAATTCGCATCCAACGTGGTGATAGTATTATTTCGAACCTGTAGAGGTTCAAGTACCACACGGCGAATTAAATATTATTAAATCAAATTGTAAACAAAGGATGACCAGAGATTTATTATGCAAAGAACTTTATAGGTTTTTGTTTTGTTTTTTACGAAACTTTAGTACAAACTCTAAACATTTTAAATATAAAAATTCAAATAAAAATACTTTTTCATATTTAGGTTAGTATTTTGCTAAAATAAGTAACAATATTTATGAACTGTATGTTAAAAGAACCTGAAACTTATAAAACCATAACTTCTAACACAGTCTTTATACATAAGACAAGTTGATTTTCAAGAGATGCTTAAGTTCTTTAATCATTACAAATTATTTAACTTCACAACTAATTAATTATTCTTACAATATCCAAATCTGTAGTGATAATTAACCGAATTATCAGATAATATTTATCTAATTATCTATTTCATTTTTGATCACATTTTTTTTTTTTTTTTTTGCATAAGATTAGAATAATTTTGAACATTAGTTTCGAATTCTGGGAAGAACCGAGAGTGTAACCTTCGATAGTAAAGAGGCCGCTTGCATGTGCTTTTAATCAACTTTGGTGATTAGAATGCTTCATTTCCTCGAGATAAACACCTGCATGAACAGTGAAAACATGCGCAAAAATTATCTACTGTCGCAACTTAAGTTGTTATACAAGAAGAATATTAACCGAAACTGAAACCTTCACACCCTTCTTGGAAAACCTGTTCTGTATCAAGTACAATAACTTTTCCTGGATATATATATCCAATTCACAAGAATGTTAGATCCTCTTAAGGCAAGTTTAGAACATTTTTCCTTCTCTTTTATTATGTTATTCAATTT